GTCTCCTGGCCTCTCAAGGAAGACAGCTTTCCCTTCCCTTCTGAGCCCCAAGTTGACCTGATTTACCTTTCAGAAAAAAATAAAATGCTCTCTAGGAACCGCCAGCTTGGCTGATAGTCTGCTGACTCACATGATAAGGGATGACTCAGCGCTTCCTCACCAACCAGCATTCCCCCCATCGCTCAGCTTTTCTGGGCCGACTTCCCCTCCTCCATGAGCTCACCCAAGCTCCCTTTTCTCCCCCTGAAACATGATCTACAAAGTGGGACTTGTGAGCACCAGACACGTCCCTCAAGGGCTCAGTCTTTTTTTTTTTTAACTATCGTAAAGTACGTATCACACAAGTTACCACCTTAACCATGTTTAAGAAAACAATTCAGGGATGTGAAGTACATTCACACTGCTGTGTAACCACCTCCAGAACTGCTTTCACCTTGTACCATCTGAACACCAATCCTCACCCTCCCCTCCTCCAGCCCCTAGTGACCCCCTTTCTACCTTCTGTCTCCATGAGTTGGCTACTGCAGGTATGTCACTCAGCAATCTCCAGAGAAACAGAATCAAGGAGACATATATACATACGTGTGTGTGTGTGTCCATAGACAGAAGTTTACTGTGACGCATTGGGCTCATGCAATCATGGAGGCTGAGAAGTCCCACCATCAGCCATCTGCAAGCTGGAGGCCCAGGAGAGCCAGTGGTGCGATTCTAGTCTGAACCCGAAGGCCTGAGAACCAGGGCGGGCTGCTAGTACAAGTCCTGGTCTGAGTCTGAAGGCCCAAGAACCAGGCACTTCAGCATCCAAGGACAGGAGAAGAGAGATGCTCCAGCTTAAGCACAGGGAAAATTCACCTTTCCTGTGCCTTTCTGTTCTGTTCAGACCCTGGGCAGCTTGGGGGATGCCCACCCATATTGCTGAGGGCCACTCATTCTAATTTCTTCTGGAAACACCTTCACAGACATACCCAGCATCATGTTTCACTTGCTATCTGGGCATCTTTTAGTTCAGTCAAGTTGACACATAAAATTAACCATCACACTAGGTATTTCATATAAGTAGAATCATACAGAATTTATCCCTTTGTAACTGTTTATTTCATTTAGCATATAATATCTTCAAGGTTCATTCATCTTGTAGCAAGTGTCAGAATTTCCTTCTTTTTTAAGGCTGAATGACATTCCATTGCATGTATAGACCACACTTTATTTACACATTCATTCAGCGATAGACACTTGGGCTGCTTCCACGTTCTGGTCACTGTGAACAACGTTGCTATGCACGTGGATGCCCCAATATCTCTCTGAGACCCTGCTTTCAATTCTTCCGGGCTCTTTGCTGCTCTTGCAAGAAGCCTCTTCTGGTGGCAGCATCTCTCTGGTCTGTCCTGCCCCTGAGCTTTCTCTACCAACTCCCAGACCCTAGTCTCCAGGGCATCTTCTGGAAAGTCGTGGTCACATCACCTCTCCACCCTGCACCCATTCATCAAACCTCCCCTCCCTCGAGGCGGTGCTTGGGGAACTGGACACAGCCTATGGCTAGATGATTGGTTCCCAGTGTCCAGAGTTGCCAGAAGCGGCAAAACTTGGAAAATTAGTGAAAACCTCATTCTGAGGAGATCCGGAGGTCCAAACAAGAAGGACCACATCTCTCTACAAGCCCAACATGCAAACTCATCATTGGAGCAGGAAGCAGAGCCAGGAGGTGGCGAGACGGGCACAGACCGGGATGAGAGGAGAGGGGGAACACACACGTGAGTTCTCAGGAGCCGGGCGGGAGCGCCGAGCAGACAGGACCAGCTCAAAACCGGTGGATCTCAGCGCACATGCGCGGTCCATCTCGCCTCCAGGGCACATCGTCACCTTTCGAAAGATACCTGCTCGCAGCACGTCCACATTTCACTCAAGGGTCTGTTCTTTCAGTTCCTCCGGGAAGACAGAACCAAGCCTCTCACACTTTTTAAAGGAAGAGTGGGAAGAAAGAGCATTTCATCGACAAAACCGCTGAAGTAAACTCTTTCGGCCAACACCAGGCTGCTTTGCTCCGAAAACATGTCTCTCTCTCTTCTACGCTGTTGTATGCACCACCACCCCTCCAATCTTTTCCTCTTCTTAAATCATTTAGCATTCTGAGAAAAAAAAAAAACATATAGTCAATTTTTACAGTCTATCTCCTGTACTAGTTATTGTAATTTTTATCATAGAGAAAAAAAATTGTCTTCTATGTATGTGCAAATTTATGCTCCTGCGTGCTCATTAAACCTTTTTATAAATTCACTAAATGTAAACTTTCCTTTTTAATAAATGATTGGTTCAAGTTATTTGCTAGGATTTCCTCTGAGAATTATGTTTTTAAACTTTGACCTGAGAATTTCAATTTTCTTTCATAACTTTGCAAAGCATATTGCCATTTTTCTTTGGAAACTTTGAAATATTCATTTAAATTCTTATAATGAAAACTAGTGATTTTTATTGCTTACGTCCTTGGCATGATGTTTTCAAAGGCCTTCCCTCTCTTGAAAATCATACTTTTCCTATTTCTTCATTATTTTTAATGCTACTTATTTTGATGAATTTATGAATGAGCAAAACATCTTCTCCCTAATAGATTGACTGAATTACGTATCTTTTCTCCTCGATTAAAAATGCCAACTTTGATTCAAAGTCAGCACCACGGGGGCACGATATGCTCCCTCTGTCCACCCCCTTCAATGTGCAATTCGTAAAACACCCACGACTCAGCAAAGGTTCTTCTGCCCAGTACACCAGGACCCTGGAGAGACCCTCACACCTGCCTGTCTGAAGGTATAGAGGAGGCGGGGCCTGCGATCCCCGTCCCCACTGGGGCCACAACAGCTGAGCCCACAGCCCGGAGAACCACAGCACCTGGGAGGTGGGGCACAGGATCCCAGGCTCGCAGCACAGAGGCGCCCACAGCCACAGAACGGCGCCGACAACCCCGGGCCCTTCAGCCACGGTGGCACCCATGACTCCAGCCGCCCCGTCTGACAACCCCAGACCTGGGGGAGACACCTGCCACCCAGGCCCCTCCCTCCGCCCCCCCTCGCCATGCCAGGCCACCTGGGATGCAGGGGAGGCATCCTCCAACCTGGTGCCCCCCAGTGGCAATGCCAGTGGCAGAAGGAAACAGGACTCCAGAGACGCAAAGAGCAGGAACAAGGGCAGTGGGGACACCTCTGGCAGAGGCCTTGGACGGGTGGGAAGTTCTGAGTCTCAAATGCAGCCAGGGGCTGCTCAGATAAGAGAAACCAAAAACTTGAGCTACAGCACCACCTACTGAAAAAACAAAAAAGGGCCTCTAATCACCAATCTGTTGAACTGTTAGAATCAAAGTTAAAAAATGCTTTACCAAAATAAAAAAGGTGTTCACTACTTCAAGTGTGCCAGCAGAGAAGAAATTCATCCAGCTCCACAAAAAACCATAACATGACAGCACAGAGAGAAAAGTGACAATTCTCCAGAAACCAAACTTAAAGTCACAGAAGTTTGTGATCTAACTGATAGAGAATTCAAAATAGCTGTCAAGAAGAAACTCCACGAGCTGTAAGAAGACTCAGAAAGGCAGTTTAATGAGCTCAGGAATAAAATTAATGAACAGAAGTAATACTTCGCCAAAGAGACTGAAACTCTAAAAAAGAACCAACCAGAAATTCTGAAGCTGAGGAACTCAATAAATGCGAGGAAGAATGCAATAGAAAGCTCTGGAAATAGAGCATATGGAAAAATTACTGAACCCAAAGATAAAAATCTAGAAATGATTCAGGTAGAAGAGGAGAGGGGACTAAGATTCTTTAAAAAATAAAAAATTCAGGACTTCCCTGGCGGTCCAATGGCTAAGACTCCTCACTTCCACTGCAGGGGGGGCCGGTTCAATCCCTGGTGGGAGAACTAAGATCCCACATGCCATGTGGCACGGTTAAAAAAAAATAATAATAATGATAAAATAAAAATTAAAAACAATTCTACAAGAACAAGGCCCTTCACCACCTCCACACAGGACGCCGCTGACGCTCTGGTTTGGAGGGGCTGCCGACCCCCACCCCCCCACTCAGCTGCCTCGTTCCCAGCCCAGCTTCCCTCCAGGTTCTGCCACCCGCTGACCTGGCTGAGAATGAGGTCCTTTCATTCCTGCCGCATGGCACTCTCTGAACCCCTGACCTCGATCTCCAGGGGCCCAGACTCTCCTGCCTTCACCTCCTCACCCCCGGGTTCCTCAGACACAGGATCTGGGGAATCAGGGTGTCTGCTGTTCCGTCTTCAGGAGGCCCCTGCTGGGGAGCTGCGTGGTGAGCTCAGTAGGCCCCTCCAGCACCTGTCCTCACAGGGTCGGTGCTGTCAGGATTCAGAAGCACCACCTTTTCCTCAAGCATCCACAGCTCCCTTTAAAACACGGCCTGGGCTTCCCTGGTGGTGCAGTGGTTAAGAGTCCTCCTGCCAGTGCAGGGAACACAGGTTCGAGACCTGGTCCGGGAAGATCCCACATGCCGTGGAGCAACTAAGCCCGTGCGCCACAACTACTGAGCCTGTGCTCTAGAGCTCGCGAGCCACAACTACTGAGCCCACACGCCACAACTACTGAGCCCACATGCCACAACTACTGAGGCTGTGCTCTAGGGTCTGTGTGCCGCAACTACTAAGCCCACATGCCACAACTACTGAAGCCTGCATGCCTAGAGCCCGTGCTCCACAACAAGAGAAGCCACCACAATGAGAAGCCCGTGCACCGCAATGAAGAGCAGCCCCCGCTCGCCGCAACTAGAGAGAGCCCGCATGCAGCAATGAAGACCCAATGCAGCCAAAAATAAATCAATTAATTAATTAAATAAATTTTAAAAAAATAAAAATAAAATAAAACACATCCTATCAACTCCCTTTCTGATGTCTTATTTAAAGAATAAATAATTATCTTAATGTTCACATACATCAGTTCAAACTGTTTTTTTAAGTTGATTTTGTCATCTTATAAAGTGCAGAATTCTTACCAGGAATCAAGTTGTTCAAGTACCATCCACATAAGAAGTAAAGGCCTGAATCAAACAGAATCATCCAGCAAACCCAGCCAAATGTCATGCCCACTAGTTCCAGAGACTGGTACATATTATCCCACTGAATCCCTGGAAGGAAGAGTAAGGTCAGAGTCAGAGCTGCTCATCCTCTTTCAGGCAGACTTTGGTGAGGTGAATTCATCAGTTCTGGAGGCAAAGCTGAGCACAACTAAAGCAAAAGGAAGGTCAAGGCCATGGGCCCTGTACCTCCTGTGAAATGGTAGCTTCATCTCTCCCTGATTCAGGGACAGCAGGTGGGTGGCCATTATCAATGCCTGAATACCTAACATTTTAAAAAGTTTAAAGTTTGCCTTACTTATATCTATATACTATCTATATGGTATATATATCTATATATATGTATATAGATATAGATATACACATATATATACTATATATATGTATATATATATATATACACATATATATATACTATATATATTACTTGCTTAACTAAAACAATCTATATTTAGGGAAAATAAGCATGTTTTAAAAAAAGATGACGGCTCCTTGAGAACCCAAACTCTAAATTATACTATTCTTCTCGCTCTTGGAAAACATATAAACAGGATATATAGGATCTGCAATAGGAAAGAATCATTCTCTTATTACAATATGTTTGCAAGTTATTGCTGGATTAAAATATAATTTGTTTTAAGAAAAATATTCATCTTTCTCAATTTTCCTATGGTACTAACCTAGAACTCGATAAAATAAATGTTTTAACGTTGTGTACTTGTTGGAATTTGGTCCAAAATATTCAAAGAATCTAACAGTGACCATTTTTCTGCCATATCCTTATGATCCAATTTTGTTTAAAAGTCACTTTGAAGAATTCAGGTTAGGTCATTTCAGGATTACTCACCTGTTTTAATACATTTTTAGTGTAGTATCGTTCAGAACAGTTCAACATGTTTTACAGAAAAGTCGGAGAATTTCAGGACTGGCACAAATTAATGAGCTAATGTAATGCTATCTGGAGTTCAGTTTCATACATGGCATGTACTTTCCCTGTGTTTTCAAAAACACACCACAAAAAACTATATAAACATCTAAGAAATATGTGTCTGTTCTGGTCTAGGGTTTTAGTTGACAAAATCTCAATATAAGTGAAAAACGTTGCCAACAAATTTTTTTTTTAATTATTGTAGGCTGAATTAATAGGAATAAAATACAGAGAAAAGAGGAGAGATAATTGCTCTATGCTGGTTAGATCTCCTTCTGGATCATGGGTTCAAGAAGGATCCAGAAACCCTGAAGGTATATAAACAGCTGTCATGTGAAAGAGGTGGTTAGAAAGAGAAACCAGGAACAGTGGGCAGGAAATCCAGGAAGACAGACTGCAGCTCAATAACCGTCTAAGAGACGAGACCCTGCACGGCCCGTTCAGGGGAGAATTCCGAGGGTCACTAATTGACCAAGTGTGTTTCAGGGGTGTCACGGGGTAGCCCCAGGCACTGGCTGGGCAGCCAACCTGGAGCACAGGAGGCCAGGATTGTCCTTGTTCCTAAAACCAGGGTAACTGGATGGAGGGAGGGGTTTACATCAGCTAAACCAACGCAAGGATCTCCTTCCAAACCTTCCGCTTTGTAACTAATGCTCTCTACTGTATCGCCTGCAACACGATAACTAAATTTCCAAAAACCTGAGTCACATTTTTAAAATCTGCATCCTCTTACCTGCCTCTTGCCCTTCCAGGAATGTAACCAAAAGTACTCCTTGTCTAAAGGCAGTTGTGGAGAGGAGGTACTGCTTGCAGATGGAGGGGGAGAAGAGAAAAACTGCAAGTTAGTGCCCGATTGGGCCACAGGAAGTCCACAGCCCTAAGTTCAAATAACGAAACCACAGCACATTCAGGCTCTTAATGATGCCAAACCATCACTCCAGGCGGCCACTCCACATCTGAGCCCAAGACTGGGCCGCGCATCAGCCTGTTCCGAAAAGCATAATAACAAGACAGTTTTTAATGTTAAAAGGAATTATCGCTCTTTACTGCAGTGCTTGAAGTGTGGTAAATCCAATGCACTGTACACAGAAATGTATAACACAAAACGGTGGCAAATGGAATAGAGCAATTTCCTATGTATTTTTATTAAGTGAACGCTCTGGAGCACACTGCAGACAGACTGATGGAGACTGCACACGAGAAGAGGGCGCATTGGAGGAAAATGTGATTTCATTTCCAGCAGCGAGGTCTGGTGTTTAAAAAAAAGGAAGCTCATTGGAAAAGTATCTTACGTTTAAAAATGTAATGTACCAGAGTTAGATCCTTTGTTTGCTAGAAACCATTTCAACATGTAAAAAGGAAATCAGACTTTGTAGACATAAAACCTTAAATCTAAGGATTGAAATAAAAAACAAAAAACATCTGTTGAAATTCAGGCCGGGTGCTCAGTGGCTCTTTTTCTGTATGTAAGGAATATCTGGTGGGGGCACTGAGTGGTCCCAGCTGTTCTCATTATTCTGAAAACAACCAATTAACACACAAAATTACTGACTACCGGTGTGACATAAACGAACCCAAACTGGATAACATACTGATGAATACCGTGCAAATCTAGGCATACGAGCCGAGCCGTGGAAACCAGGGCGGACTGAAGGGTTTACTGGTGCTGGAGAAGAGTTAATTTGGCTTTCATGGAAGCATTTTACCCCGAGGCCCGAAATGAGCAGAGACCTTCACCCCACCCACAGCAGTGAGGCTGGCTGGCCCAGGACGGGTGACCTCTGAAGGCCTCAGGGGCCCCCTGGCAACCCTGGGCGGCTTTGTTCTAATAACTGAGGTATAGTTGTTAGTCCAAGTGAACAACATAGTGATTCGATGTTTTCATAGATTATCTTCCACATAAAGTTACAATAAAACAGTGGCTATATTCCCTGCCCTGCTCGTCACATCCTCGGAACATTTATTTCATACCTAGTACTTTGCACCTCTCACTCCCTACCCTATCGTGCCCCTCCCTCCACCCCTCCCTCGTACCCACTAGTTTGCTCTCTGTATCTGTGAGTCGGCTTCTGTTTTGTTATATTCGGTCGTCTGCTGGATATTTTAGATTCCGCCTTTGAGTGAAAACATACAGCGACTGTCTCTCTCTCTCTGACTTCTCCCACCTGGTCCCACCCCAGATTCTCCCTCAGGGACTCCAGTCACACTCCCCACAGGGTGCCACGAGGACGTGCCCTGCCCTTGAGCTCAGGGATGTTTACGTGATGACAGGCCTGTGACGCAGGCCCTGAGACGTGGCTCCACCATCCCTTCCAACGTACTGTGTGTCCCTGCTGTGTGTCCCAGTGCTGTGTACTATGTCCCTGCTGTGTGTCCCAGTGCTGTGTACTGTGTTCCAGTGCTGTGTACTGTGTCCCTGCTGTGTGACCCAGTGCTGGCCCTACTGTGTGTCCCAGTGCTGACCCTACTGTGTGCCAGTGTTGGGTACTGTGTCCCTACTGGGCGTCCTAGTGCTGTGTACTGTGTGTCCCTATTGCGTGTCCCAGTGCTGTGTACTGTGTCCCTACTGTGTGTCCCAGTGCTGTGTACTGTGTCCCTACTGTGTGTCCCAGTGCTGTGTACTCTGTGTCCCTACTGTGTGTCCCAGTGCCGTGTACTGTGTGACCCTACTGTGTGTTGGCACTGAGCTCACCAGGTAACAGTCACCAAGAATGGATGAGTTTCTGTCTTCTACATATTTATAGCACAGACTTGGACATATTCTAATGCTTTTGGGGAGGTACATTCTAAATGGATAGGTGACTCTGACACTGCCAACGGAGAGATCTTTCCAGCTAATGTGATGTAATTTGTGATGCTTCCCAAAAAAATGCTTATTTTTTACTTCTAAAATAGCTTTGGAGATCTGTTTCCTTCCATGTGTGAAACAAAGAGAAACTGAAGTCATGCGCTTCCTTTAGGACGCTCCCGATTTCTCCAAGTCTTCAGGGGAGAGTCCCTATTCCATGAAAAACACGTTTTCCATGGGCCGCCCCTCAGCAAACCGTCCGTGGTGTCAGTGAGCTCACCACCGCGAGGCTGCAGCTGAGGGTGGGTACACACCGGCGAGATGGGGAAGCCCCACACACCCGACAGTGATGCACTGAAACGTGCCGCGGGGTACACGGCAGCCTCGTTCTGCAGTTTCACAAAACAACGCACCGACCAGGGAGGCCTGCAGGCCGGCACGATGTAGGGCAGGAAGCTGCACAGGGCGGCCGAGCTCGCCCGGCCGAAGGATGCGCTCAGGAGGTAGCTCAGTGTGACCACCGACACCCCGGAGTCCAGGAGGAAGAGGACGCCATCCAGGTGCTGGTGGAGGTGAAGACGGCGCTGACCCCGAGGATGAGGGCCAGGGCGGCGCGGCTCACCGTCAGCTTGGCCCCGTGCTCCGGGAGCCGGGCCAGCAAGTGGACGGCGGGGGACAGGCCCATCATCTTCACATACTGTCCACACAGGGAGGACCGGTCATCACGGGGTTGACAGAGGACAGGGCAGGTGCGGCCGGGGTGACAGGCGAGCCGGGGCTCATCCCTCCCTGTGGGCGCCAGTGTGGAAACATGGCCTCGGAGACGCCGCGCTGGACGTTTCCTCCAGAGTCAGCCATTGATGCGAATGAACCCCCTGCAGAGCAGGTCGCTGGCCATGAGGAGGGGAAGAAGGGGGACGAGGTGGCCTGAGAACAACCTCACAGCTGTGAGAAGGCAGCTGCGAAGGGGAGTAGACCCCAGACCCCAGCCTGACCGGCCGCAGTCTCGCTGCCTTTCCTGGTTTATAGAGCTTTTGTCGGTTTTGTTCCCTCTTTTTTTTGTCATTTGGTTTGTGTTGGTTTTGTTTAATAACAACAAAGAGAAAAATGAAGGGGGAAAAACTGGGCCTTAAGCTCTTCACTTCGGGGGTGACTGCTCAGGTTCTAGAATGTGTTTTGCAAAGTAATTCAGTTTGAAGTAATAACACTAAAATTAATCCATCCACTGAAATGACCGCTTGCTCACCTATAACATGGTGATACACCAGGGTGTAGGGCTGGTTACTTGGCAGTGACAGCAATTCATATGCACGCCCCACGCTGGTGGCCCCGGGCAGGGAGCTCAGCACCACCAACGCCCAGTCCCAGGCCTTACACCTGGGGCCCAGCTGGATGGGCAAGAAACACAGAAATCCAGGAATGCGTTCGTGCTACACAGGTGAGCACCACGCTGTACAACAGTGCAACTCTAGTCGAAACTGAGTGACTCTCTGCACTTTTCCTTTGCTTTAATAAATGAGTGGATACCATGTGCCAGCGTGTCTGCCCGGCTGAACGGGAAGGCAGGTCTTTACCAGGCGCTTTTATGAACTTTCATTCTTAAAAGCAATTTTGATAGTTTCAAGTTTTAACGACACTGGGACAAAGACAGCAAAGCTGTACATAAAGAATTCCAGCCGTAAACAAAGACGGGAATTCCGTCCATGTGTTTGTCTGGGTCGCGTAAACACTGCTGAGTGAGGGACTCTCGTGGGCCCGTCCTCAGCCTCCTTTCCTGTCCTGGGCGGACTAGACGTGTCACCTGTGCAGCTCTGCCAGGGCCCTGGGCTTCCGTGCAGAGCGAGTCTCCTGGGACGGCGGGACCCAACCAAGCGCACGCGGCATCCCGTCCGTGACGGGGCAGCCGTCAACCCCCAACCCCCCAACACCCCCTCCCGTCCCCCAAGCTGTTCACCTCCTCCAGCTGGATCTCCCGCTCGTAAAGCAGCCTGCGGACCACGCTGGCCATGGACACCATCCACGTGAGCATCGCTATCGGCGGGAAGAAGGAGCCGACGCTGTTCAAGAACCTGTGGGGACAGTGCGGTCAGCATCCACCGCCGCCCCAAGATGCTCGCGGTGAGTCCTGCTCCCACGCTTCGTCCCGCTGTCCTTACGGCCCCAGGGCTCGCTCAGGACCAAGACCTGTCTGACCCTGTGCCTGGAGCAGAACCGCTGTCGGGCGTCCTGATTTATAGGTGTGCAAACTCACAGAGCACGAGGAAACTTTACAGATGCAGAGGACCTCCTCTATGTCTGTAAAGGAGAGAGTCATGAGGGGCCTGGTATCGCATGAGCCCGACTCTGGGGTCCTTGGAGCAACCACCCCGGACCCAGAGAATCTGGACGCTCTGCACATACCTGTCTGAGTGAGGCCATTTAGTACAAATTAAAGACAATAAGAAACTACAGAAGAGAACTCACAGTACATGGTGTGTAGCTCAGGCCTTTCCTAGTCTGCTCCTGGAAACGAGTCCAAATCAACAAGAGAAGGAAAAACTGCCATTGCAATTCTGATACATGTTTGGGGAGCGATGGCCAAGTATTTGAGAAAGCTGCTAAAAATAATCAAGCTCATATAGGAGTCACACAAAAAAGTAGAGACGAGAGGCGTCAGCAGCAAAACCCCACCCTCTGGAGGTCTAGAATGTGCCATCAAAACTATACTTAAGTAAGTAGTCACAAAAGTGATTCTTTCTGTTCCAGAAGGAATATCTCTATGTTCCCGTATCTCCTATGTCTCTGTTATGGACTGAATGTGTCACCCCCAAATTTGTATGTTGAAACCCTAACCCCCCAAAGGGATGGTATCTGGAGGTGGGGCCTTTGGGGGATGATTATGTTGTGATGAGGTGATGAGGATGGGGTCCCAGGATGACGCTGGCGTCCTCAGAAGCAGAGGAAGACAGACCAGAGAGCTGTCACTCTCTCCACCCTCTGAGGACACAGCAGGAAGTCTTCACACCTGAGAAAGGGCCCTCGTTATAAACCAAACCTACTAGCCCCTGGACCTCTGGAACAGTGAGAAATAAACGTCTGTTGTTTAAAAAAAGACACTACACTTCCTAAAGCCCAGGGGCACTCTGGGGGCACAGTACAGAGAATAGCAGGTGTTAAGTGGGTGTCCACTGCCTGTTAAACTGGGTGGTGTCAGGAGCCACTCCCACCTAGAGAGGGTCTCCAGGGAGACAGAGGAGGAGGGTTATGTTCAGAGTATGTGTATGTGCAGGAAGCACTCAGTCTTCGTGGCCGTGGGAGAGAGACTTTGAGCTCTGGCGGCATTCATGTCCCTGGTCCTCACCACTAGCTGGAGCCCCTTGCAAACAACTGGCCGGGAAGACCCGAGCCATTCAAGATGAGTAACAACGGCAACAGAAATCTAGCACAACAGCCACATGAGAAATAAAAGTAGGTTGAGAGTCTCAGAATTATTAACAAATGAAGAACACATGCCAAAAAGATGGTGACGTGAAACAGATGAAAATAGCCAACATCTCTGCCACCAGTTTCAAACTATTTACTAAGGCAATCCCCTATAAAAACACCATACCACAGGAGTGTTATGGTTCAGTGATGAGATGCTGAGGTGGCAGGAAGACACAGAATGTGAGCTGGAAGAGGCTGGGGAGAAACAGAAGGTGGAAGATAGCCGCCAGATGGATAGAGACAGGATGAGGGGCACAACAACGGCAAACGACGCTGCACACACCCAGTGAGAGCCATAAAACACACGTGAGAACGCAGCTGAAGGGACAGAAAGAAAGAAGGAGCTTAATAGAATTAAGGGGATTTTGTTGATAAGAAACACAGGGGGGAAGTCATGCAACTGGATTCCCTTAAGAAGAAAAACCAAATACTGGAAGAGAATAAATTGTAATGCTAGAACACACCAAGAGTTTCCATTAAAAAAAAAAAAAAAAAAAAAAAAGCTTAAGTCTTACACATTGAAAGAACTCATCTTGTGCCTTGGAAAACTGTCCCAGAATGGTCAACAATTAAGTGTATCCTAGTAAATTATTGAATTTTCAAGTTATTAGCAATTTGTCAAAATTACCAAGTCAGATAAAAGAGTGAAAATATCAAGGTGGCCTCAGATTTCTTTATACTAACCTGAAAGCCAAAGATAATGGAGCTATTTCTACAAGATACTCAAGGAAAGAGTGAGCCCAGGATTTCATGTCCAGCCAAGCTGTCTTTCAAATATAAATGCTGCGAAGAATTTTAAGTATGTAAGAACTCGGGTTAAATTGTCTCATGAGATCTTCTTAAGGAAATTACTAGAAGACAAACCAGCCCACAGAGGGGTGACTGGTAAATCACAGTGAAAGAATAATGGTAAGAAGTGGATTTACTTCCAGTAAAAATAAGACTAAAACAAAAATGAAAAATAAGATGACAAGACATATTGGAAATGTTTTGTTCCCTGAAATGTAAAAATGATACAACAAACAAAAATTGGAAGGTTGGGGAAATTCTTCAAAGAGGAAGAATGAGTTGGTAAATGCCAAAATCAAAGGCTATTTAACGCTGACAAACGTAGAATATAAGTATAGGCAACTTTAACGTACAAATGAGGACACTGAGATAATAATGTAAACTAAAATTGCATGATGAAAAAGATGTGATGGAAGAAGAGAAATTACATTTTTTTTTATTGGTCATGGTAAAAAAAAAAAGAAAGGGTTGATATTATTTGTACAAAGTTATAACTATAAGGGAACCACTAGAACAACAGCAGAACATTCCTAAATAATGGTATAAGTATAGAAAAATATATTACATAACTAGGACCATATATACCTGAAATTCCATTTCATACTGTTAAACAGCTAACCTCCCCTGTGTATGAAGCTATGTGATGCACACAAGAGACGCCCCTAAAACAAGACACTTCAGAAAAGTTTAAAATGCAAGGATGGGCAAAGGCATGGCAAGCAAACTGTGAATCCAGAGAGAAGAAAGGGGGAAAAAGCAGAGGTCATTAATTTAATTTTATACAAGGTAGAATTACGTCCACAAAGCATTAAGGAAGACCCAGAACACAATTACTCATGGCTCTGCACGAAGTGACTCAGCCCCAAGATTCGAAAGGCCAACACCAGAGGCAAAAGCAAGGGGATGTCCCAGTAACAGGAGACTACAGTTTATCTACCTTAGCTCAGCACAGATGAAGTGGACACAAATAAGGACAGAGAATTCCTAAACAACAAAGTTAATGTGGATAAATTCTGTACTATAAAAATAGGAAATCAGAAATTTCTTTTCAAGGCCCATAAATCATTCACAAAAGTTGATTATATAATAGTTGCCAGAGAAAAATGCCATAAATTCAAAAAGTGGAAATGATAAACACAGTATTTTCTGATGGCAATGTACAAATTAGGATTTATTAGCAGTATTTGGCAATTTAGGGTATGATGCGATTTTTGGATTTTGTCAATCTGATTTTTAAAATGCTGTCGCAGACTAGTTTTAATTTGAATTTTTCTTACTATAAGTAAGTTGAGTAACTTCACATGCTTAAAATTCCTGAGAATTTCCACTTGGGAATTAAAAGACACTTAAACAGCTCTTGGGTCAAGAAGACAGCAGAAACCCATATTGCAAGTGTCTAGAAAACAATGAACTTTTAGTCGTATATCAGATCCATGGGACATAGTTGAAATAATGATTGAAAAGAAAAGTCATCACCTTAGGTCACTACACACATTAAAGGAAAAAACCACTAAAAATAATGTATCAAACATGGGTCTCAGGTATCAGAGAAACAGCATAACACATTGAAGGTATATAAAAGTAAGGAAGTAATAAAAATAAAGACAGAACAAGTAAGTTAGAAAAGACAAAAAAAGAGAATTGATAAATAAAGTCCATGTGTGGTCCTTTGAAAAAAGTATCAACAGAACAAGAAAATAATGAAACTATGTGTGCACCAAGTGAATTTTTAAAATGCAGAAGGAGGAAGCATGTTGAAGGTAGACTAACCACAGAAGGAGGGGATGAGGGAGAGGGAGAGGAACACAAGTGCTCTGCTCGACCTCAAATCCTCCCTCGGACCTTAGGGAAGAGACTGGTGTCTGACGTGGACTGTGTCCCTACTGTGTGTCCCAGTGCCGTGTACTGTGTGACCCTACTGTGTGTTGGCACTGAGCTCACCAGGTAACAGTCACCAAGAATGGATGAGTTTCTGTCTTCTACGTATTTATAGCACAGACTTGGACATATTCTAATGCTTTTGGGGAGGTACATTCTAAATGGATAGGTGACTCTGACACTGCCAACGGAGAGATCTTTCCAGCTAATGTGATGTAATTTGTGATGCTTCCCAAAAAAATGCTTATTTTTTACTTTTAAAATAGCTTTGGAGATCTGTTTCCTTCCATGTGTGAAACAAAGAGAAACTGAAGTCATGCGCTTCCTTTAGGACGCTCCCGATTTCTCCAAGTCTTCAGGGGAGAGTCCCTATTCCATGAAAAACACGTTTTCCATGGGCCGCCCCTCAGCAAACCGTCCGTGGTGTCAGTGAGCTCACCACCGCGAGGCTGCAGCTGAGGGTGGGTACACACCGGCGAGATGGGGAAGCCCCACACACCCGACAGTGATGCACTGAAACGTGCCGCGGGGTACACGGCAGCCTCGTTCTGCAGTTTCACAAAACAACGCACCGACCAGGGAGGCCTGCAGGCCGGCACGATGTAGGGCAGGAAGCTGCACAGGGCGGCCGAGCTCGCCCGGCCGAAGGATGCGCTCAGGAGGTAGCTCAGTGTGACCACCGACACCCCGGAGTCCAGGAGGAAGAGGACGCCATCCAGGTGCTGGTGGAGGTGAAGACGGCGCTGACCCCGAGGATGAGGGCCAGGGCGGCGCGGCTCACCGTCAGCTTGGCCCCGTGCTCCGGGAGCCGGGCCAGCAAGTGGACGGCGGGGGACAGGCCCATCATCTTCACATACTGTCCACACAGGGAGGACCGGTCATCACGGGGTTGACAGAGGACAGGGCAGGTGCGGCCGGGGTGACAGGCGAGCCGGGGCTCATCCCTCCCTGTGGGCGCCAGTGTGGAAACATGGCCTCGGAGACGCCGCGCTGGACGTTTCCTCCAGAGTCAGCCATTGATGCGAATGAACCCCCTGCAGAGCAGGTCGCTGGCCATGAGGAGGGGAAGAAGGGGGACGAGGTGGCCTGAGAACAACCTCACAGCTGTGAGAAGGCAGCTGCGAAGGGGAGTAGACCCCAGACCCCAGCCTGACCGGCCGCAGTCTCGCTGCCTTTCCTGGTTTATAGAGCTTTTGTCGGTTTTGTTCCCTCTTTTTTTTGTCATTTGGTTTGTGTTGGTTTTGTTTAATAACAACAAAGAGAAAAATGAAGGGGGAAAAACTGGGCCTTAAGCTCTTCACTTCGGGGGTGACTGCTCAGGTTCTAGAATGTGTTTTGCAAAGTAATTCAGTTTGAAGTAATAACACTAAAATTAATCCATCCACTGAAATGACCGCTTGCTCACCTATAACATGGTGATACACCAGGGTGTAGGGCTGGTTACTTGGCAGTGACAGCAATTCATATGCACGCCCCACGCTGGTGGCCCCGGGCAGGGAGCTCAGCACCACCAACGCCCAGTCCCAGGCCTTACACCTGGGGCCCAGCTGGATGGGCAAGAAACACAGAAATCCAGGAATGCGTTCGTGCTACACAGGTGAGCACCACGCTGTACAACAGTGCAACTCTAGTCGAAACTGAGTGACTCTCTGCACTTTTCCTTTGCTTTAATAAATGAGTGGATACCATGTGCCAGCGTGTCTGCCCGGCTGAACGGGAAGGCAGGTCTTTACCAGGCGCTTTTATGAACTTTCATTCTTAAAAGCAATTTTGATAGTTTCAAGTTTTAACGACACTGGGACAAAGACAGCAAAGCTGTACATAAAGAATTCCAGCCGTAAACAAAGACGGGAATTCCGTCCATGTGTTTGTCTGGGTCGCGTAAACACTGCTGAGTGAGGGACTCTCGTGGGCCCGTCCTCAGCCTCCTTTCCTGTCCTGGGCGGACTAGACGTGTCACCTGTGCAGCTCTGCCAGGGCCCTGGGCTTCCGTGCAGAGCGAGTCTCCTGGGACGGCGGGACCCAACCAAGCGCACGCGGCATCCCGTCCGTGACGGGGCAGCCGTCAACCCCCAACCCCCCAACGCCCCCTCCCGTCCCCCAAGCTGTTCACCTCCTCCAGCTGGATCTCCCGCTCGTAAAGCAGCCTGCGGACCACGCTGGCCATGGACACCATCCACGTGAGCATCGCTATCGGCGGGAAGAAGGAGCCGACGCTGTTCAAGAACCTGTGGGGACAGTGCGGTCAGCATCCACCGCCGCCCCAAGATGCTCGCGGTGAGTCCTGCTCCCACGCTTCGTCCCGCTGTCCTTACGGCCCCAGGGCTCGCTCAGGACCAAGACCTGTCTGACCCTGTGCCTGGAGCAGAACCGCTGTCGGGCGTCCTGATTTATAGGTGTGCAAACTCACAGAGCACGAGGAAACTTTACAGATGCAGAGGACCTCCTCTATGTCTGTAAAGGAGAGAGTCATGAGGGGCCTGGTATCGCATGAGCCCGACTCTGGGGTCCTTGGAGCAACCACCCCGGACCCAGAGAATCTGGACGCTCTGCACATACCTGTCTGAGTGAGGCCATTTAGTACAAATTAAAGACAATAAGAAACTACAGAAGAGAACTCACAGTACATGGTGTGTAGCTCAGGCCTTTCCTAGTCTGCTCCTGGAAACGAGTCCAAATCAACAAGAGAAGGAAAAACTGCCATTGCAATTCTGATACATGTTTGGGGAGCGATGGCCAAGTATTTGAGAAAGCTGCTAAAAATAATCAAGCTCATATAGGAGTCACACAAAAAAGTAGAGACGAGAGGCGTCAGCAGCAAAACCCCACCCTCTGGAGGTCTAGAATGTGCCATCAAAACTATACTTAAGTAAGTAGTCACAAAAGTGATTCTTTCTGTTCCAGAAGGAATATCTCTATGTTCCCGTATCTCCTATGTCTCTGTTATGGACTGAATGTGTCACCCCCAAATTTGTATGTTGAAACCCTAACCCCCCAAAGGGATGGTATCTGGAGGTGGGGCCTTTGGGGGATGATTATGTTGTGATGAGGTGATGAGGATGGGGTCCCAGGATGACGCTGGCGTCCTCAGAAGCAGAGGAAGACAGACCAGAGAGCTGTCACTCTCTCCACCCTCTGAGGACACAGCAGGAAGTCTTCACACCTGAGAAAGGGCCCTCGTTATAAACCAAACCTACTAGCCCCTGGACCTCTGGAACAGTGAGAAATAAACGTCTGTTGTTTAAAAAAAGACACTACACTTCCTAAAGCCCAGGGGCACTCTGGGGGCACAGTACAGAGAATAGCAGGTGTTAAGTGGGTGTCCACTGCCTGTTAAACTGGGTGGTGTCAGGAGCCACTCCCACCTAGAGAGGGTCTCCAGGGAGACAGAGGAGGAGGGTTATGTTCAGAGTATGTGTATGTGCAGGAAGCACTCAGTCTTCGTGGCCGTGGGAGAGAGACTTTGAGCTCTGGCGGCATTCATGTCCCTGGTCCTCACCACTAGCTGGAGCCCCTTGCAAACAACTGGCCGGGAAGACCCGAGCCATTCAAGATGAGTAACAACGGCAACAGAAATCTAGCACAACAGCCACATGAGAAATAAAAGTAGGTTGAGAGTCTCAGAATTATTAACAAATGAAGAACACATGCCAAAAAGATGGTGACGTGAAACAGATGAAAATAGCCAACATCTCTGCCACCAGTTTCAAACTATTTACTAAGGCAATCCCCTATAAAAACACCATACCACAGGAGTGTTATGGTTCAGTGATGAGATGCTGAGGTGGCAGGAAGACACAGAATGTGAGCTGGAAGAGGCTGGGGAGAAACAGAAGGTGGAAGATAGCCGCCAGATGGATAGAGACAGGATGAGGGGCACAACAACGGCAAACGACGCTGCACACACCCAGTGAGAGCCATAAAACACACGTGAGAACGCAGCTGAAGGGACAGAAAGAAAGAAGGAGCTTAATAGAATTAAGGGGATTTTGTTGATAAGAAACACAGGGGGGAAGTCATGCAACTGGATTCCCTTAAGAAGAAAAACCAAATACTGGAAGAGAATAAATTGTAATGCTAGAACACACCAAGAGTTTCCATTAAAAAAAAAAAAAAAAAAAAAAAAAGCTTAAGTCTTACACATTGAAAGAACTCATCTTGTGCCTTGGAAAACTGTCCCAGAATGGTCAACAATTAAGTGTATCCTAGTAAATTATTGAATTTTCAAGTTATTAGCAATTTGTCAAAATTACCAAGTCAGATAAAAGAGTGAAAATATCAAGGTGGCCTCAGATTTCTTTATACTAACCTGAAAGCCAAAGATAATGGAGCTATTTCTACAAGATACTCAAGGAAAGAGTGAGCCCAGGATTTCATGTCCAGCCAAGCTGTCTTTCAAATATAAATGCTGCGAAGAATTTTAAGTATGTAAGAACTCGGGTTAAATTGTCTCATGAGATCTTCTTAAGGAAATTACTAGAAGACAAACCAGCCCACAGAGGGGTGACTGGTAAATCACAGTGAAAGAATAATGGTAAGAAGTGGATTTACTTCCAGTAAAAATAAGACTAAAACAAAAATGAAAAATAAGATGACAAGACATATTGGAAATGTTTTGTTCCCTGAAATGTAAAAATGATACAACAAACAAAAATTGGAAGGTTGGGGAAATTCTTCAAAGAGGAAGAATGAGTTGGTAAATGCCAAAATCAAAGGCTATTTAACGCTGACAAATGTAGAATATAAGTATAGGCAACTTTAACGTACAAATGAGGACACTGAGATAATAATGTAAACTAAAATTGCATGATGAAAAAGATGTGATGGAAGAAGAGAAATTACATTTTTTTTTATTGGTCATGGTAAAAAAAAAAAGAAAGGGTTGATATTATTTGTACAAAGTTATAACTATAAGGGAACCACTAGAACAACAGCAGAACATTCCTAAATAATGGTATAAGTATAGAAAAATATATTACATAACTAGGACCATATATACCTGAAATTCCATTTCATACTGTTAAACAGCTAACCTCCCCTGTGTATGAAGCTATGTGATGCACACAAGAGACGCCCCTAAAACAAGACACTTCAGAAAAGTTTAAAATGCAAGGATGGGCAAAGGCATGGCAAGCAAACTGTGAATCCAGAGAGAAGAAAGGGGGAAAAAGCAGAGGTCATTAATTTAATTTTATACAAGGTAGAATTACGTCCACAAAGCATTAAGGAAGACCCAGAACACAATTACTCATGGCTCTGCACGAAGTGACTCAGCCCCAAGATTCGAAAGGCCAACACCAGAGGCAAAAGCAAGGGGATGTCCCAGTAACAGGAGACTACAGTTTATCTACCTTAGCTCAGCACAGATGAAGTGGACACAAATAAGGACAGAGAATTCCTAAACAACAAAGTTAATGTGGATAAATTCTGTACTATAAAAATAGGAAATCAGAAATTTCTTTTCAAGGCCCATAAATCATTCACAAAAGTTGATTATATAATAGTTGCCAGAGAAAAATGCCATAAATTCAAAAAGTGGAAATGATAAACACAGTATTTTCTGATGGCAATGTACAAATTAGGATTTATTAGCAGTATTTGGCAATTTAGGGTATGATGCGATTTTTGGATTTTGTCAATCTGATTTTTAAAATGCTGTCGCAGACTAGTTTTAATTTGAATTTTTCTTACTATAAGTAAGTTGAGTAACTTTACATGCTTAAAATTCCTGAGAATTTCCACTTGGGAATTAAAAGACACTTAAACAGCTCTTGGGTCAAGAAGACAGCAGAAACCCATATTGCAAGTGTCTAGAAAACAATGAACTTTTAGTCGTATATCAGATCCATGGGACATAGTTGAAATAATGATTGAAAAGAAAAGTCATCACCTTAGGTCACTACACACATTAAAGGAAAAAACCACTAAAAATAATGTATCAAACATGGGTCTCAGGTATCAGAGAAACAGCATAACACATTGAAGGTATATAAAAGTAAGGAAGTAATAAAAATAAAGACAGAACAAGTAAGTTAGAAAAGACAAAAAAAGAGAATTGATAAATAAAGTCCATGTGTGGTCCTTTGAAAAAAGTATCAACAGAACAAGAAAATAATGAAACTATGTGTGCACCAAGTGAATTTTTAAAATGCAGAAGGAGGAAGCATGTTGAAGGTAGACTAACCACAGAAGGAGGGGATGAGGGAGAGGGAGAGGAACACAAGTGCTCTGCTCGACCTCAAATCCTCCCTCGGACCTTAGGGAAGAGACTGGTGTCTGACGTGGACACGTGTGCCCCTCCACCAACTTCCCAACTGGGCGGCGAGAGGTCCTGTGACTCCCATCCCTGGGGAATCCCACAGGGGAGGGTGACTGCGGTTCTCCAGGCTCATACGGTCCTGGTAACCCCTGGTCTGCAAGCTCCCAGAAGGCAAGGACGACACCTTTTTCACCACCAAGTATGACAGTCACGTGCATACATGACACATAGCAAATGCTCCATAAATGGCTTCAAATGAAAAAACAGCACAAAAACTTTCTCTCTTAGCAAGATGTCATGAGTTCAAGGTCACGGAAGGGAAAAATGGTCACCAAACAAACAAACAAAAAACAACTGGTGCTTTAGAAGAGGGTATGAAGTATGCCTTTTTTCTCTACTTTCTCAACTTTTGATAACCATTTGTTTACAAAGCTAACAATGAAAGGAGAAACATATTAAATCCAGGATGTCTAAGTGACCTCAGAAATAGGACTGTCTGTCACCGCCCTGTTATCAGGTCAGCATGAATCCGACAAATATGCCCCAGATTCTTCCATGTATTTATCCCTACTCTGGAACCCAAACAAAAGCCCGTCAGTAAACTTGGAAATTAGGAAATCCAACATTCTCATTTGTTTAAACCTTTTTAAAAGGTTACTCTGATCTTCATAAACATTTCGTTGTCTCCACGTCTTTTTCTGAAGGTGGCAAATCCCTGACTTGCATTTTTAATAACTCTTATTAACAGTGTTCCTCGGTGGCTTGTCTCTATTAGCAACGTCAGACAGAAAAGGATGAGCCTGTTGTATCAAAATCCCATATACAGGGACAGCCACGTGGAGAAATCAGCTTTTTTTTTTAACACCTCTTTATTGGAGTATAATTGCTTTACAATGGTGTGTTAGTTTCTGCTCTATAACAAAGTGAATCAGACATACATATACATATGTTCCCATATCTCTTCCCTCTTGCGTCTCCCTCCCTCCCACCCCTCTAGGTGGTCACAAAGCACCGAGCTGATCTCCCTGTGCTATGAGGCTGCTTCCCACTAGCTATCTATTTTACTTTTGGTAGTGTATATATGTCCATGTTACTCTCTCACTTTGTCACAGCTTACCCTTCCCCCTCCCCATGTACTCAAGTCCATTCTCTACATCTGTGTCTTTATTCCTGTCCTGCCCCTAGGTTCCTCAGACCCATTTTACCCAGCAATCCCACTACTGGGCATATACCCTGAGAAAACCATAATTCAAAAAGAGTCATGTACCACAATGTTCACTGCAGCTCTATTTACAATAGCCAGGACATGGAAGCAACCTAAGTGTCCACTGACAGATGAATGGATAAAGAAGATGTGGCACATATATACAATGGAATATTACTCAGCCATAAAAGGAAACAAAACTGAGTTATTTGTAGTGAGTTGGATGGACCTAGAGTCTGTCATACAGAGTGAAGTAAGTCAGAAAGAGAAAAACAAATACTGTATGCTAACACATATATATGGAATCTAAAAAAGAAAAAAATAGCTCAGCTTTTGTTTTTGTCTCTTGAGATGCATGACTCCGGTGCCAGTGCAGGGTGGTGACCAACCCCCAGCCCCTCCCCACATCACCCCGGCTCTGCCTCCTGCCCTTCTGCCTCCATCCACCCCCCGCCCCCAGGACCCTGATCCCGGGCCCAGGACTATGCGGGCGGGGGGTACTGCTGAGAAGGACCGAAGCTTTCTCCCCACCCCGAACCTCAGGCCAGCGGGCTGATGCAGGTCCTGTGTCTCCACCGCCCTCCCCGGCACGGGAAGGGGTGAATCAGGGACCCTCAGGCTCACGTCTGGGCTGTGTCCTCCCACCAGCCTGTGCCGGAGTCACGCACAGAAGAGTGCGGCTCCCCAGCCGAGGGCAGGGTCTGCTGTCATCCTCCTCTTGCCCAGTCCTGCTTGCTGACCCGTTTGGGAAAGTCAGGGAGGAGGGGGCTCGTGAATGCACCCCTTTCTGAACACAGCACCGCCCGGAACATTGCCCGGGTCTCGGCTCTGAAGCATCTTACACGGAAGGACGTCCCAAGGGTGAGCGCTGCCCCGAGTCCCTTCGACTGAGCTTCCCCTCGCTCTCACCCTGAGGGTGTCGGAGCTGCAGTCACCCGCTGAATCACCCAATTCAACTCGTGAGTGTTCTCGGATGACGCGACCTACGAGGTCACCCGCCCCAGGCCTCTGGGAATCCCTCCATCCCTGCATGTGGGTGGCACAGGCCCAAACTGTAAGGATTTGGGCTGAAGAGGAAATAAGCTTCCTCTGATTCCCTAGTTCAGATGGGAGGAATCCCCCGTGAATATTATTCGTCAAATTTATTCTCAAGGGTGTCTGAAGCTACAGATGGCTGGTGTCAAATCTAACTGACCACATTATCTCCACAATTGTTCTTCTATCTGGATGGCTCAGCCTTAGGAAATTAAAAAGGAGAATGGATCGTCTCTAAATGCTCTTTGGTGGAAAGGCTATACAAAAGCTCCAGGATTTTTCTCCACCTGGTTTCCAAACGCAGGGCCTCTCCCACTGTCGGAGGCCCTCAGAAGTTCGGTCCCACCGGGTACTCACAGGTGGCTGGTGTGACACGGGTACGGGATGGCCTGCACCTGCAAGGCCAGGTTCAGGGCCTCCTGCCCCATCTGTCTGCACTGAGATGATAGCTCTTTCGATCATGTCTTGCAACGGGACAAAGATGTAGTTACACTTGAACCCATCGGCTGGGAGGCTCTGAGGGTGGAACTTCCAGAAAGGGTTTTTCACCAGATCCATCCTCAAGCTGTACAAAATGCTGGTCCGGATGCTGTACGTAACCTGGGGTGGCAGCTGGAGAGATTCTGAGCTGAGGTTCTTACCTGCTGAGGAACTGTTAAAAATGATACCTAAGGTCAGAAAAGGACAAACAAGGGGTCAGCACAACCTAGGAGCGGCTCATACCACATCAGCATGGGTCTGACCGGAAGCCCCAGGACACTCAGCTCAGCGCCCCCGTTGAGAAAGGGGCCGCACCCCAGGGAGGGGAGGCTGATTTTCTGTGTGACACAAGCCCTCGGCGCTGAGGTAGCACTAAGGCCTCCCAATTCCCAACTCCCTCCTAAAATTAAAAATCCTCTTTTTTATTTTAACAAAAACACACAGTGGTGTCATTAATACAAAGAAATGACTTGTTTTGCATTTTTGCAGGACCTGAAAAATTACGTGAGGCTGCACAAATAATAGGATTTCCTTGTCTGTGATTACAGATGTCCCTAAGAACCGATGTCTTTGGATTCTGTGCTCTGCCACAGGAATTCTTCGCATTTCATGTACAAAGCTGCTTGTGGGCTGAATTCTGCCCTCCCAAAATTCATAAGTAGAAGTCCTCACCCCTAGCACTTCACAATGTGACCTTATTGGGAGATTTAGTGTTTACAGAGGTGACCAACTGAAAATGAGGTCACGGGATGTGCTCTAATGCAGCATGGCTGGTGTACTTAGAAGACAGGGAAGTGCAGACACAGACACGCACAGAGGGAAGATGAGGGAGCAGACAACCATCCATATGTCGAGGACAGAGGCCTCGGGGGGAGCCAGGCCTGCCCACACTTGGACTCCAGAATTATGAGAAAATAAATTTATGCTGTTTAAGCCACTTAGTCTGCAATTCTTTGTCACAGCAGCCTTAGCAAACTAATACAAAGCCAAATAAAAACAATTCGCTGTTTATTCAAAAGGAATATTTATGTTGAATAAGTGAACAACTGATCGAAAGACTTGAACTGGCCACTGTCTCTTCTCCCCTGACCCTAGGACATCCAGATATACCTGATAAAAATAAAAGGGATGGAAGAAATCAGAGTGCAGCTTTAATCAAGAAAAATATAACCTATCACATGAGATTTAACCATAAACTGGTAAACTAGTCCCGTAAACTGGTAAACATGGATGCAGGGAATAGCACTGGGCCTCGGATGACGTACGAGGCCCATCTTTTCACCAACTCAAGGGGACCAGTTCTGCCTTGTTCATTTTACCCAGAAAGCACTGTTTTCTACCTGTGATAAGACACGTTTGGGGAGAAATATGCAAATATTGCCTTTATGAGCATGTGTGTTCACTGAATACTTACTGGCCAAGAAGCTGTTCTTCCGCATGAGGGCCTGTGAGGTCGCCTCCAGGCAGGTGGCGGAGGTCAGGCCATGGAAGAGGGTCAGTAGGACACAGAAGGTCAGGTTGGCCAGGATGCGGCCCAGGGAGCAGAGGCGTCCAGCGCCCATGAGGTTCAGCATCTGGCCCAGCTTCCCTCCTGAGGACATGGAAACGAGGACATGGCAACTTTTCTCTGGGCACAGCGCGTATCCTTCCCAAGGCAGGGACTTTGCAAATAAATTCCTTCATGAGAAAATTTATTCAGAAGAGTCCAATTCCGTTCCACGCAAAATCTGCTACTTATTTGCTGAGTGCAAACTCCACCTTTCCTATATGGTCCCTGTAATGTTGATACTTACATGTAAATGGAAAGAAAACAGTTAAATCATAGAAGGTGAGGTTGCAGACCACAGCTAAGTCAACAGCAGGAGCCGGAAAGAATGAACAACAGAGGGAAGGACGTGTGAGAGACACGGCTGGAGTAACCCAGCTCCAAGCAGAGAGGGTGGCCCTGTCCCCCTCAGTACCTGCCCACTGGGCAGCGGTGGCAGCAAAGGGGACAAGATCCAGCTTTGCCCCCATAGCAGCTCTCCTGTGATTCCATGTTTACCCTGGAAAGTTATCTTATCCGTCAAAGTTTGTTTCTTCATCTGCAGTGTGAAGAAAGCAGAATCCCCTGCGGGATTGTCCTAAGGATTAAGCCAAGTACCTCGTGTGTGTAAGTGCTTACTGAGGGCATCCTGTTGTCATGGTTACAGCTGCTGAAGAGGAGAGCTAGGCGCCAGCCAGTTATCCTAATTTAATTCCTCCCGATGAAACTAAGCTCAACAACTAGAAAATAGGAGACCAAAAAGTGCATTCCACGCTCTGAGGGGCTCTGAGTGTTTGGGATTTTTGTTTTCTTGTTTTTGATAGAGAATTGGAAAGTGTTCAATTTTACAGGATGGGGCAAACCGGGAGCATTTCTATATTGCTGATCATTTGTTGTTTGAATGTGTGCTCTACAGGCTCACCCAGTAAGTTTGCTGACGACTTCACTGTGTTAATTCCAGAGGCTTCATGGAATAAGGAGTGACCTGGCCTCCACAGAGTGTGACTTTAATTGTGTTCCAGGGACAGAACCAAAGCTGCTTAAAAAAGGCTTTGCATAGCTGAATCGTTCATATAATTGACTGTATCCATGTGTGTGTATATGTATGTGCGTGTGCATGTGTGTGTACATGTGTAATGTCAGGAATTAGAAAAGCAGTTCCACACAAAAATTCCGTGTGCTTTAGCACCCCTCGCAGAGGTCCTTGCCCGAGAAGAAGGCAGCAGCAGCTCTTTGGTAAGAGCTCTCGCTCAGTGGAGTGAATGTAACACAAGTAGTTGCTCAAGTCTCCACCACATGTCCTCTGACTCTGGACTCCTCAGTGCCCTCCCCGACCCGACGGGGGCGCTGGGGTGGGGGGCACCTCCACAGGAAAGGATGGAAAACAGGACAGGGACACAAAGGTCCATCGTGAGAGGACTAGACCAGGCCGCTTCTCTCTCCTGTGTCCCCATCAAACGTAAGAGGTAGTTAAAGACAGGCCGAGAGGAAACACACAGGTCAGTGGAGCAGAAGGTGTGGGAAGGCCCCAGCTGGCAAGGGCAGCAAGAATCGGAGGCTCACACATGCACGGGGTAAAAGACTCTGCAAGGATTTCAGCCGAGCTCTGGCCACGAGAAGCTGTGCATTGTCCCCATTTGACATCTACAGCTGACGACCTGAGACACACTGGCGTTAGCCATGGCCAACTAGGGGGTTTGAGATCCCCTGTTTCTAGCCCTAAACATGATGTCCAACAATTGCCTCCATCCTATTTCATCTCTTCTAAATGAGGGACAGCTTCTCGACATTTGGGGCCAGAGCTATGTGTTAGGGGAGGCTGTCCTGTACATCACAGGGTGTTTAGGAACATTCCTGGTTGGGAGCATCTCACCAGCTGTGACAACAAGAAATGGCTCCAGACCTTGCCAAATGCCCTAGGGGACAAACTCCCCCTCAGCTGAGAACCACTGATGGAAACAGAGTCCCGATAAGCTCCCCGCACATGAAAAACATCCTATCGGGCTTCAGTGCCTCATTCTTCACCTCAACAGACAGTTAAGGAAACTCTCCAACATGAAAGGGAGAACTCAAAATAAATGAATAGAGCTAGACCTTCAAGATGACAGAGAAATAAGATGTGGAGATCACCTTCCTCCCCAGAAATATATCAAAACTACATCTACATGTGGAACAACTCCTACAGAACACCTACTGGATGCTGGCAGAAGACCTCAGACCTCCCAAAAGGCAAGAAACTCCCCACGTACCTGGGTAGGGCAAAAGAAAAAAGGAAAAACAGAGACAAAGGAATAGGGATGGGACCTGCACCAGTGGGAGAGAGCTGTGAAGGAGGAAAGGTTTCCACACACTAGGAAGCCCCTTCACGGGCGGAGACTGTGGGTGGCAGAGGGGGGAGCTTCGGAGCCACGGAGGAGAACGCAGCAACAGGGGTGCAGAGGGCAAAGCGGGGAGATGCCCGCACAGAGGATCGGTGCCGACCAGCACTCACAAGCCTGAGAGGCTTGTCTGCTCACCTGCCGGGATGGGCGGGCCTGGGAGCTGAGGCTCGGGGTTCGGAGGTCAGATCCCAGGGACAGGACTGGGGTTGGCTGTGTGAACACAGCCTGAATGGGGCCAGTGCACCACAGCTAGCCAGGAAAAGTCTGGAACTGCCTAAGAGGCAACAGACCATTGTTTTGGGGTACACGAGGAGAGGGGATTCAGAGCACCGCCTAAACAAGCTCCAGAGACGGGCGCGAGCCGCAGCTATCAGCACAGACACCACAGACAGGCGTGAGACGCTAAGGCTGCTGCTGCAGCCACCAAGAAGGCTGTGCAGCCCGCCACTGCCAGGGTCCCATGATCCAGGGACAACTTCCCCGGGAGAACACACGGCGCACCTCGGGCTGGTGCAACGTCACGCCGGCCTCTGCTGCTGCAGGCTCGCCCCACATCCGTACCCCTCCCTCCGCCCGGCCTGAGTGAGCCAGAGCTCCCGAAGCAGCTGCTCCTTTAACCCCGTCCTGTCTGAGTGAAGAACAGAGGCTCTCAGGTGACCTACATGCAGAGGTGGGACCAAATCCAAAGCTGAACCACAGGAGCTTTGCAAACAAAGAAGAGGGAAGTTTCTCCCAGCAGCCTCAGGAGCAGTGGATTAAATCCCCACAATCAACTGGATGGACCTGCATCTGTGGAATAGCTGAATAGACAACGAATCATCCCAAATTGAGGAGGTGGACTTTGGGAGCAACTGTAGACTTGGGGTTTGCTGTCTGTGACTGACTGGTTTCTGGCCTCATGTTTACCTCAGTTTAATATTTAGAGCTTATTATCATTGGTGGATTTGTTTACTGATTTGGTTATTCTCTTCTGTTTTTTCTAATATATAGATACATATTTTTTTCCTTTTTCTCTTTTTGTGAGTGTGTATGTGTATGCTTCTTTGTGTAATTTTGTCTGTATAGCTTTGCTTTTACCATTTGTCCTAGGGTTCTCTTTGTTTTCTTTTGTTCTTTTTTTGTTTTTTTATAGTATAGTTTTTAGTGCTTGTTATCATTGGTGGATTTGTTTTTTGGTTTGGTTGCTCTCTTCTCTCTTTCTTTCTATTTTTTTCTCTCTTTTCTTCTGAGCCATGTGGCTGACAGGATCTTGGTGTTCCGGCTCGATGTCAGGCCTAAGCCTCTGAGATGGGAGAGCCGAGTTCAGATCATTGGTCCACCAGAGACCTCCCGGCTCCACGTAATATCAAACGGCAAAAGTTCTCCCAGAGATTTCCATCTCAATGCTAAGACGCAGCTCCACTCTATGACCAGCAAGCTACAGTGCTGGACGCTCTATGCCAAACAACTAGCATGACAGAAAAACAACCCCACCCATTAGCAGAGAGGATGACTAAAATCATAATAAGGTCATGGACACCCCAAAACACACCACCCGATGTGGTCCTCCCACCAGAAAGACAAGATCCAGCCTCATCCACCAGAAGACAGACACCAGTACCCTCCACCAGGAAGCCTACACAACCCACTGAACCAACCTTTGCCACTGGGGACAGACACCAAAAACAACGGGAACTATGAATCTGCAGCCTGCAAAAAGGAGACCCCAAACACAGTAAGATAAGCAAAATGAAAAGACCAGAGAAACACACAGCAGATGAAGGAGCAAGATAAAAACCCACCAGACCAAACAAATGAAGAGGAAATAGGCAGTCTACCTGAAAACGAATTCAGAATAATGATAGTAAAGATATCCAAAATCTTGGAAACAGAATGGAGAAAATAACAAGAAACGTTTAACAAGGTCCTAGAAGAACTAAACAGTGAACAAACAAGGATGAACAACACAATAAATGAAATCAAAAATTCTCTACAAGGAATCAATAGCAGAATAACTGAGGCAGAAGAACAGTGAAGTGACCTGGAAGATAAAATAGTGGAAATAACTACCGCAGAGCAGAATAAAGAAAAAAGAATGAAAATAATTGAGGACAGTCTCAGAGACCTCTGGGACAACATTAAATTCACCAACATTCGAATTATAGGGGTGCCAGAAGAAGAAGAGGAAAAAAAAGGGACTGAGAAAATATTTGAAGAGATTATAGTTGAAAACTCTCATAATATGAGAAAGGAAATAATCAAGTCCAGGAAGTGCAGAGACTCTCATACAGGGTAAATCCAAGGAGAAACATGCCAAGACACATATTAATTAAACTATCAAAAATTAAATACAAAGAAAAAGTATTAAAAGCAGCAAGGAAAAAGCAACAAATAACATACAAGGGAATCCCCATAATGTTAGCAGCTGATCTTTCAGCAAAAACTCTGCAAGCCAGAAAGGAGTGGCAAGACATAATTAAAGTGATGAAAGGGAAAAACATACAACCAAGATTACTCTACCCAGCAAGGATCTCATTCACATTCAACAGAGAAATTAAATAAAACCTTTACAGACAAGTAAAAGCTAAGAAAATTCAGCACCACCAAACCAGCTTTAGAACAAATGCTAAAGGAACTTCTCTAGGCAGGAAACACAAGAGAAGGAAAAGACCTACAATAACAAACCCAAAACAATTAAAAAATGGT